AGTTCGATGGTCAGATAAAGGATTAACCATGTAGAAATGTTGGATCTTTTTCAATGCGTCTCACTCCATGTTGACTAACGTTATTAGTGCAGGTTGACAAAGAAGGAAGCAGGTTTAAAGAATCTTTTTCATCGTTCCTCTTAACGACCGGGGTTGTTGTTTTTATAGCGACTTTCCAGCGGAAAAGCGGGGAAAAGCCACTGGTGTTTTTTTGTTATTGTTTTTGTTATTATTTTTTTTGTTGCCAATTCTGGGAGTCTTTTTCTTGGGTGGCTTTTTCCCAGAGACCCCGGATCTCATGGTGGTCATGAGATGGGTCAATCCCATGACCCCCTTTCTCGTGTAGCACGCTCTCAGATTCAGTTATACCACCTCCTACCAAATAAATATTCATTATAAAAAATTAGCTGCTGCAGCTTTACAAAGCGCAATGAAGTTACAATAGAAAGACGCCCGATCTAAAACTGGGATGGGGACTTCATAAATCTTGAAATGTAGGTTAATTGAAACCTGCTTGTATCGGATAATCAATCAGATGAACTGAGCGTTTCAACAAATACAAACCGGATTTCTCAGCCTACGCGAGCGGATTACTTTCGCCAAATCTATTGGAGAAAGAGCCAGAAAAAAAAAACCTGAGAATTTTATTCTAGGAAAAAGCGGGAGAAGACCCCTTCCTCGCTCGCTTTAGATCCCACATTTGTATTATGATCGGTCTAAACTCAGCCGAGGGTAAACGTGAACCTTTTTCGAAAATAAAAATTATGGCTCATATCAAACAATTTTCAAGAGCCCATTAAAATAAATTTTAAGACTAACAACAAAAAAACTAAAAGTGCAGACGGTGTCGCGCCCCCAATGTGATCGCTGGCGTGAGAACCACTGGTCTCTCGTTTCTCATTCTATTTCCTTGGATCTTTTAAATTCGACCGGGTATGAATGCCATGGGAAGGAAGTCGATTAAGCCTCAACTAGGAAGATGTCAACGTTTCACCGATAATAAAAAATTTAATAGACAAAAAATATTATCTTTTCACATTTCCGCGCTGCAAGGAACACATTTTTCGTTTATAGCGAAGGAATTCACCGAGAGAGATCTGTAATTCCACATCATTCGTTAAGATTCCTCTCCGCCCTGCATAGTATTGTGAGAAGAAATGAGAATTCCCCGCATTGCATTTCATCATCGGGAACTTCATTAACGAAATCGCTCCAATGTGCCGTCGCTAAGTTCATGGTAACAATTCGTGCGAATATCAATGATGTGCTCGTGCTTTCGAAGCATTGAGAGACTTTATTTAAAGAAATGAAGGTGTTAACTTACCCCGAACCCTGGTGTCGTCGGATCCAGCCGGCGGCTCTTCGTTAATAGGGGGAGGGGGGGAGGGCGGGAGGCGAGAAGTGTGGAACGTCAATCAAATTTTCCCGATCGTGAAGCAGAGGCGGCCTTCGCACATACAGAAGGGAATAACAAATTCAATCCTTGCTTTCCAGGCGGAGGAATACAGACGACAAAAACGGATGGTATCCTACGCCCTTGGATATCTCTTCCACTGGTCATTAATCAACCAGTCGGCTGTCAGCCTTGCTCTACCTGGCTTGCCGCATGACAGGTTAATTGTTTCCTTTCTTTGTCTTTTTCGACCCCAGGGTTGAGAGAATACAAATTTCCGAAGATCTTGCACGATTCTGTTAAAAAATATATTGTCCTGGCTCACTATGTAACCAGGGCTAGGGGATGGGGGGAAAACCGAAACGAAATAACCGAAGGATTGAAGCCAGCGGAGGGGAACGTTAGGCCTAACGAAATGAGAGTCGAGGTATTTAAAAACAAGAACCAAGTGCATTGTCCAAAAATTTGATTCTCGTTGCGGAAGCTTTTTTTCTTTGCCTAAGTAAGGATCAATTTCATGCAGCGTGGAACGAAGTCTAAAGGAAATATATACACTGCTGACATCACTGTTACGTCTCTGCCCAGAAAGATGGCTGCCCCGATGGGGCGGGAACCGGCGCTGCTGTCGTGGAACTTTTACATCCGAATACGTGGCGTCTGCTCGCTGCCTTCTCTATGGCGTATGCGCACAACGTTTCACTCTCCAATCTCCCGTTTCCTGTAACTTCTTCACTCCATACTTGGCACACTTCATGCGAGCTCTCCAGCAAGTCGAGTGCAGAATGAATCCGTCCAGTATTTTTGGAGTATTTTGAAGGCTTGGAGTACATGTATCAAACTTCTCTAACTTGGAGAATGAAGTAAAGGAATGATGTGTGCAAAATAGAAAGTAAATCTATGAGCGTGAGAAGTCGCAAGCATACGCCATAGGCTCCATAGAAAATGCAGGGAGCCGACACCATGCTCTACGGATCCAGAGTCGAGAGGCAGAGCAGGCAATCATGTCCAATCTTTGTTATTGCTGTTAATCAATACGTCTTACATATGATGTATGTGGCATCGACGGCGAGGTGAACCGAGACTGGCGTCCTTCAGCTCTACCTATCGCTTGGATCGATTCTTCAAGTACTCCTACGCGATAACTTGGTAAGTAGCAACATATCAATTTCGAGGAAATTGCCTTTAAGGTTATGAACATTAGATATTCCCGAGCAAATAGCATTAAAAAAAATGGCAATTTCGTAATGGTTAGAACCACATGTCGTGACATGATAATGCGCTTTCTCAACAACCTAACAAACACTTGGGTCTCCAGTTGGTCAGTGAGGCTTAAATCCAGCATAATTAGTTCATCTGGCCGTTTTCAAGCTTTCTATCATCTTCCCGTACGAGGACCTATTGCTAGTGTTTCCTGGTGTGCGCACAGGGTGTCCACTTCCTATGGGAGTCGTATCAGCGTGGCCAAAATCTGGGGTGTTTACCCTATGTGAAAAGCATTTGCTTGGTTCTTGCCCAAAATATAAATATTCAAGGTGACTCACGTCTTGGACTCTCGAATCCAACTGCGGGCGACGCGTGGTGTCAATTGTCTTTATGCTTCATCTGACAATTTCTGAGGTTTTATCGACATTTATGGTCTGATAATACATCTGTTTTTGAGCATGCATGAGACGATGGTCCGTATGCAAGCTCCTATCGCTTGATAGCTTATTACATGGTAGCTATCACGATAGGTATCAGGCGATAGGTCGATAATTTGCTAGGTTCCGTATGCAAGAACAATTTATAGGTATCCATCGTGAGGCCTATTTTGATAGCTATCTTCATATCTATTACGATAGGTATTCGTGAATTTTCCTGATGACAACCTCCTATCCATGGTCTTGCCCTTGTCCCAGGAACAATGGCATGTGTATCTGCTCACATGACTGACCAGAGTGTTGTGTGATAATTTGATGGTATTAATCTGACCCTGTTTACCAGACTAATGATTGAATTCCGACTGCCGTGGCTCGATACAAAGAACTCTACGGGATTTAATCTATTCCAGAGTAACTGCGCTCGGCACAAGTTGCGACGGTTCACATAATTAATCGGGTTAGCAAAATGCACCGTAATCCACCCTGGTAGCTCGTTATGAGCAGAATAAACAAGTTTTGGATCATAATAGAGTGAAGCGATTTTTACACCTATCATGGTACACTATCATGATAGGTATAAATTGTTTCTGCATATGGCCAACCTATCAAACTTATCATACAACACTCTGGTCAGTCATGTGAGCAGATACACATGCCATTGTTCCTGGGACAAGGGCAAGACCATGGAATTTTTTTTTTTTTTTTTTTTTGGGGGGGGGGAGGGGGCACTAAAGTCAAAGGAATACGGTAGAGCGTAGATTTTCCGAGAGATATTAATTCACTTCCTCGAATAAAATAATTACGATCCCAAGTAGAGAGGTGCCATTCTACTGGTCACCGCAGACACTTTATCACTGGTAACCATAGATACCACTCTACAATCAGACGCTATCGCTCCAATACCATCAGTGTAGTTTAAACTAAGAAATACAGAACGTAGAGGTATATATAGATACTTTCACCCAAGGTAGGTTGCAATGACTACTGAGGACAGACGGACTGGGATGAAAATCAAGTATTTAGTGAGCAAAAAACATGAACAAAAAATAATGGTGCCCTAGTGTAGATTAGGAGAAAATTGGAACGTCTTCATGATATATTTTCTACCCATTTTAACGGTTTGCTAATCTCATTAAATCCTATTCACTCGCGTTTTTAAATTTACAAAAGTAAGGTATGACAAGAGGTCTGAAAAAATGTTTATGCTTTCATAACTTGTAATACAGTGTTCAATACCTCTCTTTTGATATCGATGTTTAAACGTGTAAAACGTTGAAATGTTGGACACCCTGGAACAAAAAAAAAACGAAACGGAACGTGATGCATATTGTTTCCTAGCCATTTGTGTGACAGAAATGCTGGAAAGAGTCTTGAAAAATGGGGAGAGAGAGAGCTGGAAACATTGGAATCGAAGAGTAAGAAAACGTCGTAATATTTTAAAAGTTTAATCCTCGATACAGTTTGAATTAAATCCTATTTCCTGTATGCCTAAAAAAAATTCCTGGAGAGGGTGGGAACCCACCATCCCAGAGTATTCAGGGAGGGGAAGGAAAAAGCCGCGGAAGTGGAGGCCGGCTTCCTCGGAAGGCAGCGTGGGGGGATTGGGGCCCACTGGAGATGCCAGAAGAATCAAAGAGGTGTAAAGTCACGCATTTATGGAATCACTAGCCGATAAGAGGAGGGAATAGGTGACCTTTATCGTATCGGTATCTTTCGTTTGTTCGCGCTGAGCTCTGAAAGAAGTAAGAAGCGGCATGTCTGGAAAATAATCACTTTATTTCCCCTCGACCTGGGGTCGTCTACATATAAAATAACTTATTCGTGAGATCTCACGCCCTCTCTCCCAGTATCATGTGTACATCTTTGGCATCGAAGCTGATGGGGACGTGGTCCTCGGAAAGCATCACTGGATCTTCCTCGTTCCGTGTGGATCTTCGCCTCGTCCACAGGGCTAGGCTTCACGTCTTTCACCTGGAGACGCAGATGTATCGCTTGAGCCGCTCCTTGCACGTATCACACGTGACGTGGCAGCACCAATGGAACTTGCAATTGCAGGAAGACTCTTGGTTGACGGTGTAGGAAGCGACTCGAAGGCCACAGTCGCGACAGAGATTGCGACAGCTTCTCCTCTCGGACGGCGATACACCCGGCCCTCGCTCCCGGGAACATTCCCGACCCAGGGTCCCCTTCGTCTCTGTAACATCACGAAAAATAAATAAATAAATCCATTGCCTAATCTTTTAGCGTTTCGTTCGATTCTGCGAGGAACAGAACGCCGATGATCGTGCAGAGTTACAAGTAATTAAATTAATAAGAATTCAGTGCAATTTGACAGAAGGGAACGTCCTAGCGCCTTCCAGCACGCGAAACCGAAAAACAGCAGGCCTACAATTCCAATTATGGTTCGTCCTGGTTCGCGAAACGAAAAGTGAGAAAAAAAAGAAACGAAAAGAGATTTTGGTGAACTCAGGAAAAAAAAACTTCAGGAATGAAGAAACTGTCTGGACACATTCTATAGACCACACCAAATGGCGAAATTGCAGGCACAGATCCTATGGGGTTCACTTTTGCCTGTTTATGAGCTCCTCCCTCAGCTTAACCTGCTTCGCCTCTGATGTAAATTTGAAAGCAAAATGCCTCCCTCATTCCAACATTCTCTCTGGTTGGAATGAAGAGCATTTTGTTTTCTTCCGGCTGGTTTTTGTCCCTTTGTTTTCGAGAGGGAATCCGAAAGGTTGATAGGAATCTATCAAAATTAGGATTTGGAATTACCAAATTAATTTTTCTTCAGAGGAATTGCAATTACGAATATATTGCTATTTTTAGGAGTCGTCGGAACATCGTCTACGTACCGGCAGTGACGTTATGAGAGCAGTAATCTGGCGAGGGTTCCAAGTAAACGAGAGTTCGTTTCGAGATGCCTCGTCCTTGACCTTGACCTTGACGCTTGCCCTTGCCCCGTCTGGGTCCGGCCGCCCGTCTCACATGGATGGCATTCTTCTCGGCTTCGTTGCCGTTGAGGGAATCCATGCGGACGGCCTTGCGATATTGTTTCTTGAGGAAGTCTCCCACGCTGCGGAAGGGGGCGAGACCCATCCAGCACGTCTTCGTCGCGCAACTCCCGGACACCCCGTGACACTTACATTGCCGCTGCATCGTTCTTCTCACCGCCTACGGAGGAAATAAATCACTTTCGTGTATTACGGGCCTGGAGAACCAGGAAAAGTCAGGGAGGGAGAGACAGGTCCGAAAGTCAGTTTAAACTGGAAAATTCCCAAACTTTTTGTAAATATCAGGGAAATGTGAGCCTTTCGCGAAGGAGGTGAAGGTTCTCTACGAAAAAGCACATTTCGGTCAGAGAAATGATCCCCTAAATTTATTATTATTATTATTGGGATTTCGAAGAGAGAACCCTTAACCCACCACTCGGCCTGCGTGGTTGTTGTGAAGATTGGAGAGAGCTTGCGCATCGTGACCGTCTTCGAGGGCATCGAGGAACTGTCTCGCCACTCCTTCCCCGAATCTGACGTTGTCGCTGCACCCACCCCACTTCCAGGATGAACGGTCCGACCTCGACCTGGATCGGGAATGGAGACCGGGGCTGGGGTCGCACGTGCAAGCCTCGATCTCTCCCAAACTGCAATTCTTCGTAAGGGTGTACGAGATGCCAGCCGACGTGATGGCGTGAACGAATGCCGTCTCTCGTGTCGCCGGTCGTAGCTCCCCGCTAAGATTAATTCCCAGAATAAATCAACTCTTCGATTGCCCAGACGCAAGACGCAAGCTTTGGGATGAAAATCGTTGGCATGAATACCTTCGAAGGAAAGCTGACTTGGGACAGTTCCACCTTTCCCATTTGAATTGATGCCGACATTCCTCGATTCCCAGCTGAGCTCCGATCGCCACACTCTCCGTCAAGGACAGGCTGGCCTGAAAATACAAATCAGCCAAATCTCATTCATTGTTCGCGATAGATGATAGAACGGTCGAAAACGGGGTCAGCGAGGCGGCGAAGGACAAGGAGGATCCAAATAGGATGAAGTCAACGTGGCGTGATATATCGGATTTCACTCATCTCTCCCCTCCTCCTATTGGATACTTTCCCTCCTTTGTACGCGACAAAAGACCACGGACAGAGATGGTATTGCGCTGTCAACAACGGCTCTGTTTGGACGGGCATTCTTTCCTCGGTTTGCTTGCACATCTTCCCTGGCTCTTGTGACAAATAAGCTGCAACGTGAAGGGCTTTCCCTTGGGAGACTCGAGTCTCATTCCGAGGATTCCAGCGAGGGAGATCCATGTAGATAAATGGAGAAATTGAAAGCATGACGAACCGGAGTTCCCCCATGCACACTATAATCACATGTTTACGGGATCGAGGGGAATTGATTCATCTCGTCTCGGCATGCACCCGGTCATTAGGCCCATTGCCCCATTTGCGCCCACCCATCTTGGCCCCGAGCTCTTTTTTCCTTGGTAAATACCTGAGAGATTTGCAACGCTTGTCTCTTTCCATTATGTTCTAACGGATCTCCATTGCAGGCTACATGAGCATGAAGACATCTTTCAAACCCCCGTTCGCAGCTGCCTCCTTTTTTTTTTTTTTTAGACCACCTTCCCTCCACTTTCCAGGTGGGATCCGAGGATACTACTCGATGCCCCAAAACACCATATATCCCTATATGGTGTTTTGGGGCACCATATAAGCTGCATGTATTCCATGGCTCATATATATATTTAAGCATATTGTATTTTTATTCGACAAACTAATTAACGGATGCTCGAGAACGGAATACCGGGAAGCAACTTCAAAGTATCGAGCCGAAAGACAGAATTCTGATATGCCCCGATGGAGTGAGAGCCGTTTTTCCCTGAGAAGGCTCTTGACATGCCCTCACATTCAAGGGCGACAAAGCGAAGAAATTGACGAACTCTTTTTCTTTCTGTCTGTATGAATGAGTTCATGCAAAAAAAGAAAGAAGGGTCGTTGAACCGAGTTCGCAGTCGGTGGTGTGACTGAATCGTTTCATTAACTTTTACAATAGTGGGGTTCATCCTAATCCCTTTGTCCACTTTAATCCTCTTTATCCTCGAGGACAACTTCTCGCTTTTCCAGAGCATCTCATCTCTGGTATCTTCTGTGTGTGTTTATTGGATGGTATATACAGATTAATGTGGGAGCACTATGGCTATTGCGGTCCCCTTTGTGGACAGACATTCCTCCGGTTTCAGGAATGCATTTACCCTAATGCACTGCAGACAGCGAGGTTCCTTTTCCTTTACGGTCCAATTGGAAAAAACCTGTTTCTCTCCTCCAATTCTTAATTAGGCATCGCGTGACCGTTAAATACTCTTTTGTTTAACGAAAACGAATGATATTGGAAGGAGATATGGACTCACCCCAACTTTGGAGCCGGCGAGGAGCACGTTACTCAGAGACCTGCAACGACGAAAATAAGTATTCATTAATATCACATCTTGAGATCCCGACGCTTCAAACAAACGTGAGATGTTGCTTGGATAAAAAGTTTCTGCAAGCAGAAAACTCTTGTACCTCAATCATCGCTAAAAGAGGCCTTTGTGAAATTACTGAATGCTGGAGTCTTGTTTGTTGTATTTTTACAGAATGACTTGGGCAATTACAATGCAATTACAGGCCCACTCTTGCTATTAATTTGCGACGAATTAATTTTAAGCGTGGTTAATGCATCACAAGAAAGGCATGTATTACGATTTGATGACGCTAAACGTGAATTCATTTCTCTTTGTCACTGTTTCGTGCGTTCCACATTAAATGTTGGATGCTTGGAAGCTCTTTTCCGTGAAAACTTTCCCCCAAGTTTTTGTGAGGCTTTTGCTTACATTATGCTGTTTGCGTAACGACATTAATTAGAGCTAAAGAGGAAGGGGCGTGCTCTTTACGAGGCCAGGAGATAATTTATCGCTTCTTAGTAGTAGTTATTTTGATTTTCATGCGGTTGCATAGAAAATTCAGAAAATAAATTCGGTATGTGATGTCCGAGGTTGCCAGAAATGCAGGAGTACAATTTATGGAAGGACAGTAAGCGCAGAATATTTTGCCAGGGTATACGCGGGAGAGAACAGAGGTTACATATTTTCTTGAAGTTTCGTGTTTCTTCACCAGTCTGTAACTCCATAGTATAGGCCTTTTGAGAAGAAAACCGCACGCCGCCAAAGGGGAATGATAAGACTTGTCTTTGGATAAAGTATGTTCCTCATGTGTTACTATTGTGAAGACTCACCAGGCCTGCGCTGAAGCGATAGACGTGATTGAGAAAAGCACAAGGAGCGATTCCAATTCCATGATGTTCGCACTTCGCACGTGAGCCAGAATACCTACGCGATCCAGGTTCGTGGAAATGTGATACTGTGCGGAGATGGATGAGAAGGGATTGTATTCCCACGGTACGTTGAAGCTTAGGCTCGTAAGGAACTCGAACCAATAAGAGGACGGCGGAGGAGTTGAAGCTCCGCCCGCCGGAAGTCTCTGGCCAATCGGGCCCCAGGATCGTTTCACACCGGAACAGCATCGTCGGAAGCCGGGAGGTGATAAGAGGCGCAGGGTCTCTATGGGGAGAGAAATAGTTTTATAATGGGTATTTGAGCTCCCAGGAGCGGAAGCGTCTGGCGACATGCTCACGGTCCGACCTTTTCGCAGTCTCCCGACAAATGCCTCTGTTTCCGAGGTCAATAGCTCCCGTGTTTATCGAGTCCCCCCCCCCCCCCGTATCATTCATTCCTTCATTCTTTTGCTTTTGAGTTGTAAGCACAATCCGAAGAGGGATTTTCCGATATGATTTACGGGAAGGTCATGGAGGTGATCCGCGAGTTGAAGTCTCACCAAAACATAGGGCCTGTCTGCTAGGCTACGTGCTATCATGGCATGCTATATGCCTAGCCTATAATGTGACACCGAGCGAGAAAGAGATGTTGTTCCCTTTTGTCCTCTCGTATTATAGTTGGGGGTGTTTAGAAAGTAGAAAGAGGGGTAATTGAGGTAGAGGGTGGCTTGCGGGTGGGCCCAATTTGCCACGCTTCGTTTTCCTTCTTCACCTCAACTCAATCGGCCGGAATGCTATGCACCCTTCTCTCTTCTAAAGACCTATCCCTCTAAAATACCATTCTGAGATCTTTCTCTCTCTCTCTCTTTTTTTCAAACCGCCCCCTCTTCCTTCGGTTATGGGCCTACTAATTTTTCGGCACTTTCTTGTACGTGGGTGTGCTCGTCGGGTCTGGGACTCCCAGGCCTTTTCTCCACCATATGCTTAATTATAGCCCCCCCACCGCTGCAACCCATTCAAGTGCCTTGTAAGGACATTTTTTCTCACCGTTTTGTTTGGAGATCATATGTAGCATCTCACCGTTACCTGAGTGACGTATGTGGGAGAAATCCGCACGGAAACCATCGACGAATGTGAAAACTTACTCAGCTGGACGATTTTATATTTACACATGCTGACACTGAAACCGCAAGCCGCGGGTAGGAGAGAATTAGATCTCGACCATTGAGATCTGTGCATCTCTCCTACACAGTGGCAGATCCAGGGGGGTGGGGGGCCACCGCCCCCCTATGGCCAGGTTAGCATTCTATTTTTTTTTAAATAGTACCTACATTAAATTTTATTGGGGCCAGTGAAATAGATATTCAAGTTTTTACCCCAGACGAAGGATGAAACAGGCGATAGGACGGGGAGTGGTGGTAGGAGAGAAGGGGGGGGGGAGTAGGTAGGAACTTGAGAACATATGAGACATTTCTGTATCCGCCGCTGCTCCTTCATTCACTGGCATCGATCGTACGTGGAAATGTAAAAGATGGTCGAGATTGATCATCCTTAGATGCCTTTCCGAGCGACCTGATACCTTTGACGTCAGTCTCAGATCACTATGCAATCGTGTATAGGTGCGATAGAGGCAGGCCATAGAGGATTTTCGGAACAGCTTCTTGGCGAGGAGTCAAGAGAAGAAAGGAAGCATTGCTTAAGAAAGAAGTATCATTGTATATGGAACATTTTTGCTTTCTACTCTGTTAGATGGGCATCGCTTTTTTTTTTAACCCCGGATTTTTTACCGATCGTCCATCTTTCTCCATTTCTCAATTGTGGTTCCCATCTCGAGTTATAGCGTGAGTTTAGCATACCGATTGCAATTTTAAATGTCTCGCGTCCTCCCTGTAGGACTAATTTTCATCATCGCCAGAACATCATCCGTCACGAAGGTACCTGGAGAAATGAGCGTCGCATCAAGCAAGGCAGCAGAAGGATTTCGTTAACCCTTACATTCGCGACTTATTTCCAGCCCTTTTTTAAAGGTTCTTTTGGCATAAAACACTCGTAATCTCACCCAGTCTGCATGCCAACCTTTAATTTAAATATTTTCTTGTGACGATATCAGCTGTAACAAGAAAATTAATTTTTTAAATGGTTACCATTGATTGGAAAACGTCATAAGAGACTAACGGGAAGAAGGGGTGCAATTTTTGCGGCTTATCCCCTTAACTCCTGAATTTTTCTGTGGTTTCATAAACGCTGCTTCATAAAAGGCGATGTCTTGTGTTTGTTGGTATGTAACTCGCAAAACCAACGGTGAGATGGAAACACTGTTATATCAGAACATGGCTCGGAGCGTCTCGAATTCGCTTCAACCGACGCAAATGCAATTTTTATGATATTTGATCGCATAGGTGACCAAAATCGGTTTGAGGCGAATTCTCAGCTCTCGTCCTTAAGGGACGAGAATTATTGATAATTGATTCATGAGAACATGTGGTGGCGCAGCAACGCGAGAAGTGATTCGGTTTCTGTTATTTACGGTAGTAGACGTCGATTTTGTGGGAAGTCCTCTTCCACGGGTGCGTATTTTATAGGCGTTATTTATGTAACAGGGGAAAGATTATTTCAGGAATGGATGACTCAAGAGTGAAAAGAGACAGGGACTCGCCATCCGCTGGCTTCATGCGAGGGCACACTGTTTCTGCCTTTTCGGTTTCGAAAATAGGCTCCTTGGGGCACCTTACGGATGATCGGCCTCAAATAGAAGCGAACAGTTGTTCCTCGGTCTTTCCGCTCCCTTTTTACTCGGTTCCGTCCTAGCATCAGTTCCCTTTCCCACTCGAGATATTCGAAACGAGTTCCTTTGTGGAATTCCAAAACTTGATCACGC